CACGTGGGGCAGTCGGCTTCGGCTAACCCTGCGCACTGATTGGTCTGCCTTGTGGGCAGGACACAGAGGAAGGGCGGTGTCCTTTTCGGGCCTGTGATTGGACAGGGACTGACAGCTGAGCCGGGCTCCTGGCACACCGGTTGGCCAGTGGATGGTGGGGGCGGGGCTCGGGGAAGATGATTGGTCAGGGTGTAGTGATGGGGGTGGAGCGATGCTGGATTGGGTAGCGGTAAACGATTGACAGCTCAGAGAAGGGCTCCGCCCCCCTGATTGGACAACAGCCAGGAAATGACCAACCGGATCGAGGCGGGCTTTGAGGATCTCCTTCCTTCTCTGATTAGCTAAAATGACTTGATTGATGTCCACCGGGGGTAGAGCAGGCTCTGCGGCCATTTTAGCTCGCTGATTGGATAGTGGCTGGGGTGGGGGCTGCCTTATCTGCTTGGACACTGGGAAATGATGGGCAGTCACGGAACAGCTAGTCTTTGGCGCTGATTGGCTGGGACAAGAGCCACTGCCACACCCACATGGCCCATTGCCGCTGCCCCTCCCCAACCTTGGGGCACTGCCTTTTGTGGGGTCACATGGGGGGGCGTGACCTAGGGGTGGGCAGAGCCCCCCATAGGCGTGGCAGGCAAGACCCAATCCTGCGCATGGGGGGGGGATGGGTACCCTCTTCCCTCATTGCTCTGCTGCTGCTGGTTGGGAAGGAGGCAAGCGGCCGGCACAGGGTCAGGGGGAGTGAGCTGGGGTCAGGACCTGGTCCCCCCTCCCTCTGCAGCCCCAAGGAGCAGGGAGACAGCTGCGCTTCAAGTCCTTTAATGCCAGGCTAGCCCGCACGCACCGTGGGTTAGTCCTTACCCATAAGAAAATACTATTTCCTTATAAAACCCTAAATTGACCTTCCCCGCACCACCCTGCCAGGCTCTAGCCCCCTTGGTCCTGCCTCTGCCCCCGGTCTGCCTTCCCTGGGCACTAGCCGGACCTCCAGCTGCACCCTCGTGTCAGAAACTGAAGGCTGAGTCCTTCACGCTGGGTTGGGGTAAAGTTGTCGTGAGGCTGTGGTTGCATGAAGAGATGGGGCCGCCTTGGCAAAGAGGCTGAGGAGTCAAGGGGTAGACAGCCGGCGTGTGGTTGGATTGAGTGCTGTAGATTGGAAGCTGGTCAAGGCTTGTTTGCCGGGTCGCAGTTCAGTCTCATATAGGTCATGTCTGTTGTAAGGCAGTAGTGTGGCTACAAGAATAGCAACAGGCAGAGGGAGAGGCAGAAGGAATGGACATAGATGGGTCTTGAGGGACAGGAGAGCACCCAACTGGGCCTTTGGTCAGTCATGACTGGGAATGAACCTCAGGAAGAGCTTGGAGGTCGGAGGATGGGAGTTTGGTCACAGTTATGGCCTGATAGGCATGGAGATGAACCGAGTTTCTGTTTGGGAGACGGATTTGGGTGGTGGGAAGCATCATCCTTAGTGGTGGCAGCATTAGGGGATGGTGGAAGGTCAGCCTGAAGGGGTAGGAACTTCCATGGCCGCGTTGGACGTGGTGAAGAAGACATGGTTACAAATGGCCGTTGCGGCTGAGAGAGATGGCCAAGATCTGTGGTGATTCTTCCGCAGTGGAACGTGGGCAAGTAGTACAGCTACGAATTAGCATTAGGAGAAAAAGCCAAGGCCAGCTGGTTTGACACATCTAGACCACAGGCAGATGCCAAGGGCCCAGAAAACCTGGTAGCTGCGAGTCTTGCTGCGGCCCTGCCAGCCTCATGCGTGAGGAAAATGAAAACCTGACTGGAAGGAAGAGCCAACTCCAGAAAGACCAAATCTGCCAGGATAAAGGAGACAAGATGGCTGACTTGTAATCAAGGGAGCAGCTGGGGCAGGCTCATGCTCACACCAAATGACAAGACAGCAGACTCCTGGATGAGGAAGTGTGGGAAGAAAATGGCCAACCTGTAGGTAGGGGGCAAGATGGCCAACTTGTCTGAGGCAAGATGGTGGAACTAGGGGAGAAAGGACAAAATGGCGGAACTAGGGGAGAGGGGACAAAATGGCTGACCCACAGGCAAGCAGGAGAGCAACAAATTGCCTGCCCTGCAGGGAAGAATATGAAGTCTCTGAATTTGGGTCACGGGAAAGAACGAGACCAACTCATATCAAGGAAACCAGATGGCCAGTGGCTTGGTCAGAGAAGGTGGCCAACCCCTGTCAAAGAGACGAGAAGGCCGATGCTTGTCAAGGAAGCAAGATAGCGGATCTGGGTCCAGGGCACAAAATGGCTACCCTGCAGACAAGTGGGAGGGCAACAAAATGGCTACCTTGTAAGCAACAGAATTAGTTCAGTAGACAATGGTCAAGAGAGCTGACACTTAGTCAAGGACACATGCTGGCTGGTCACTTCAAAGAGACAAGATGGCAGAACTAGCAGCAAGGGTGCAAAATGGCTGATGGGAAAGCTGAAGAACAAAATAGCTGCCCAGTGGGCAAGGGAATGAGGTCAGTAGACTATGGTCAAGGGAAGAAGATGGCTGACCCATATCCAAAGAGACAAGGCAGCTGACCCTTGGTCAGAGGAACAAGATGGCCTTCCCCCAGGTAGTGGACAGGCTGGAACAAGCCGAGGACGGTGGTAAAGTAGTCATGTAAACAGTCAGTCTCCGTTTCTCCAGTCCCCAGTGGCCCCCTCACATCTTCTTCACACGGCTCTCCAGCCCCTCCAGCTCCTGCATCACCTCACGGGGCAGGTCCTCGTTGACCTGCTCCGTGAGGTACTTGCGTATGTCCCGCACCTCCTGCTCCCAGAATTCCTTGGGCAGGTGGAAGAGCTCCTTGTGGTCCACGTTGGCCAAGCCCTGGAGATTGAGGGCCCCCTCGCGGGGGACATAGCCGATGGGTGTCTCCTGGGCACTGTCCTCTCCATCCACACGCCGACAGATCCAGTCCAGCACGCGGCAGTTCTCGCCGAAGCCGGGCCACAGGAAATTGCCATCGGGGCCCTTGCGGAACCAGTTGACGTGGAAGATCTTGGGCAGGCGGGCGCCGCTTCGCTCCCCCACGGCCAGCCAGTGTTCCAGGTACCGCCCAAAGTTGTACCCGAAGAAAGGACGCATGGCGAAGGGGTCGTGCATGATCACCTTGCCTGGTGTGGGAGAGAATGGCAGTGCCATCAGGTGAGGCGCTGTGGGTAATCCGGGACATGAGCATGAAGGGAACCGAGGTGCCTGAGAGTGGGTGGGAGGGAGTCAAGGGGCAATTTAGCATGGCCAAAGGTCAGGAAGTAATGGCGGATAAAGCCAACCTGGTGCACAGGACTGTGGGTAACTGACTACAGCAGGGGACTGTGGGTAATGTGGCTCCGCAGAACGCAAATCCAAAGGACTGTGGCTATGACAGGGCCGCCCTGCAGAGGACTGTGGATAATCCGGCCCCAAAGGACTGTGGGTATTTGGTTATGAGGGCTGCCCTGCAGGGGATTGTGGGTAACCTCTCACAGTAGAAAGAACTGCAGGCAACTGACTACAGCAGGGGATTGTGGGTCATTTGGGACCTCAGCACAAAGGACAATGGGTAATTCAGTCCAGTAGGGCCACCCTACAGGGGGCTGTGAGTAATTTGACTCCACCAGACCCCAGCACAGAGGTGTGTGGGTATCTGGAGATAGTGGCATCCTGGAAGGTGGGCACTGAGAGGACCCAGGCATCTGGGCAGTCATACCTTTGTGCTCGGCGGCGGCGGTGGACTCAGAACGCATGGCACTGCCCACAAAGACACCATGCTGCCAGTTGAAGGCCTCATATACCAGCGGCACCCCTGTAAGGGAGGAGAGATAGTGCCATTAGCCCTGTGCCAGCCCGGGGACCCTGGTGTCCAGGCAGGGTGGCAGGTGGGTGGTGTGTGGCCTTACCTTGGGGTCTTCGGCCACCAAAGATGATGGCATCAATGGGGACTCCCTCAGGAGATTCCCAGGCTGGGTCCATGATGGGGCACTGGCGGGCAGGGGCGCAGAACCGCGAGTTGGGGTGGGCGCATGGCTCCTTGGCATCTGGGGGAGGCAGAGATGGGGGGCGTTAATGGGGTAGGGCAGCACCATGGGGTGGAGATGCCAGGGGGCTGGACAGGGCAGGGCTGATGGGGTCCAGCGGGTGGCAGCGAGAAGGGATTCTGGGTAATGGGGAAAGGCTCCAAACTGGGGAAGCGGGGGTCCTGTACCATGGGTCCAGGGCTGGTCCTGCTAGTGGTACATGGGAGTGCCAAGAGAGGGTCTATACCAGGGCTCCAGGGCCAGCCCTGTCAGTCACAGATGTTGGTGTTGGGGGGGCTGTACTGGGAGGGGTGTGGGGAGGGCAGGGGTCTGTACAGGGGCAGGTTGAAGGGTACATCTCAGAGCATGCCAGTCCTAGTTGTGGGGGCCAGGCAGGCTGAAGGGCACTGGAGCCAGAGCTGCCAGCTGTAGATGAGGGTACCAGGTGGGTGGCTACACTACGGGGGCAGGAGCTGGGGGTGGTCCATACTGGGACTCCAGGGCTATGACAGGGCCACCCTGCAGAGGACTGTGGATAATCTGGCCCCAGGTTATGGCCCTGCCAGTTGTGGATAAGGATGCTGGGGGGCCTGTACTGGGAGTGGGGTGGAAGGACAGGGGGTCCATAGTGGGACTTAGAGGCTGGCCTTACCAGTTATTGATGGTGGCACAGTGGGGGATATACTGGGGGTAGTACTGCAGGGGCAGGGCCAGGGCTGTCTCTGCCAGTTGTAGATAGAGATGCCAGTGGAGCTTCACTGGGGGGGGGTC